GAAGATAAGCAATCTCATGACAAAGGGGAACAGTGGTGCTGATGCTAGCTCAGAGGCTTCATGGGGACCAGGGAAAGACCTCAAAGGTGTCATTGCACCTATGGGTGTGACCCCCTGTGTCATGGTGTAGCCTGCAAATGCCACAAATAAATGGTCCTTTTTCTGTGTCCAATTAAAGCAGACCCATATGGTAAAAATCTGTTTCTGGCTCTGGGTACATTTTCGGACTGCATCTCACTGTGTTACTTTTTGTAGCCTCCCTCCCATTTCACCCCCTTTTTGACAGATTTTTTTATTATTTTGAAAGCAAAGCTAAAATAGCCTTACAACCTCTAATCAAGCATCCAATGAGTGTGCTTTTGGGTTTTCATTATACTCCCCCCAATAACTACCACAATAAAGAGCAACATTTTCCTCTCGCAGCTGTGTGGTTGCAATCAAATGTATATTGGACAGGGATATGCAAGGAAAAAATGCCAAATACATGAGTGATAATTCAGGACATCCAATATCTGAGCAATATTTAGTTTATCTTGCCATAAAAGCATGTCATGGAAATTAAAATAATCGTGCAATAATGCCATGGAAGAGAGAAAGGAAAAAGAGAGGAATTGGGTGATCAAGGGGGAAATGCTTCGTTTAAACTATGCATTTAGAACTCGTGATTTCATGAATGGATTATTTCCAAGCATTTAGGCATATTGCATCAATATCTTCTATACCTATACACTTCTGTACAAATAGAACAACAAATATTCAGTCTTGAATTTCCACACACCCCATGCAATAATACTGATAGTATTTGGAAGGGCAAAATCACTTCATAAATCCACTCTGCTTTTAGAGTTCTGAGTGGTAGTAAACTAGTAGACAAATCTTGTATGCTTGTGAGCATTGGCTAGCAAGTAAATTAAATAATTTTCATGGAAATTACTAACTGCTGTCTTGGAAAAGGTGTTGCCTTCATTCACATTCATGCTGAGGATCATCACTGGCTATGGATGGAATAGAAGTTCGATTCAGTTCTCATCTAGTTTGCACTTTCTTAAACAATACATGAACTGAAACATCTATCCTTTGATATTTGCATTTTGCTGAATTTTGTGCTGCAGTTCTCCAGCCAAGTTAAGTATGCAGAAATGTGTTATGTTGGGGAGAATCATTTGCAAAACATCATTCATAAATGTATTTATTATAAGATATTCATACTAAAATGTTGGTGTTTTGGTTTTTCTAAAAAAATAAATTGCTGCAGAGGTGTGGGAAACTGAATTAAAAGATCTTCCCTAAGATCCCTGACTGTTATTTCAAACAACAGCCTCCGGTGGCAGAGCAACATCTCAAGCCATTATTTCTTCAGATGTAACAATGGGTGGGGGACTTCAGGCCCAAGGGCCAGGTGAGGCCTTCCAGCCATCACTACCTTGTCCTCTATACTCTCCCAAGACCATGTCTCCCCAGGTCACACTAGGTCGCATCCGTCATCATACATACACCCCCACCCCTCACTGAGTCCTCTTTCTGAATGGAATGTGTCCTTCAACTGAGATAATGCCTCTTGCTTGCCTAGATGGAGGAGGAAGACATATGTCTGTGTTTGTAGAAATGCCTTGTCTTTTGACTGGGTGCTATAGGAGCCAATTCCTAGGGGTTGTGGGGGCTTCAGCCCCCACAATAAAATATTTCAGGGGCCTGGGCCTCCACAATTACCTGGGCCTCCACAATATTTTATTCAAAGCACCCCTTGGTGGGTGCAATGAAAAATTTAAGTTGTAAGTTGCTTTGAACTTCTTTTTTAGGGGGGGGGGAGTGCCGTTACGTTGTATTTCGATGTTGTAACCCACCCTTGGATCTTAGGGTGAAGGGCAGGTAATAACTTTAATAATCATTATAACTATAATCACATCCATTGTTCTGCCTATGGCCTGACCTACCACTGGAATGTGGGTCTCTGAAGGTTGCCCACAAGGGAATGTGGCCCTTTCACCCCTCTGCCTGAAACCACCACTTGAACAAATTCTGATTTGCAACCAGCTTCTAACTCTGGTCTCAAATCTTGGCACAGTGGACACTCAAGCCCATGTGAAGAAACTTCCCTATGCATAGAAACATAGCATGTTCTGGAGAGGCCTTCTTCACAAATGGAGAGAATGCTGCTGCATTCAAGCCTGCTTACAGGCTTCCCATGGGCATTTGATTGGCCACTATGAGAACAGGACGCTGGACTAGATGGGCCTTTGATAAAGGGGCAAGCTCTTCTTCTGATCTTATGAGCACATGGCAGGCTCATATGGAACACAGCTGAAGGAAAGCACTAGCAACATTATTTGCTCCCAATATACATTCATAGATCCCCAGGAGCTAAAAACTCCCCTAAATTTCCACCTGAACATTTGATAGGATATTTTCTATTCCTATTCCCAGTGTTATCTGCAGAGAATTTTATTTAGAGGTCAAAGGGGGGGGGGGAGAGAATGTGAGGGGAGAGGGAGGGAGAGAGTGCAATCTCAAAGTAGAAATAAGAATACAGCCTATGAATCCTCAGAGAAAAATCCACATGTAATTAAACCTTCTCTGTGCTGTGATATATATAGTTCTCTAGGTTAGCATTTCTGGGCTTGTAATGCTAGACTTCTTTTATAATAAAACAAAAAATAAAAATTCATTTAATTACACCATATGTAGAGCTTATAAAGTGAAAGCTGGTTATAAATATATAATGCATGAACTGGTATTTTCTCAAAGCTGCCAATGCACACTGGCGGTATAATCAAGAACTCTGCAAACTACAATAATGATAACCAAAGATCTATATCTAACTTGCTGATTCCCTATTAAACCAGTGACCGTTATTGTGCTTTGTGTGTTAACACATGGTACCATCAAAAGGCAGTTTAAAAAAAAATGTATTTAAGCCTGAAACTCTTCACTGTTCATTACTCCTGGAAGTGAAAGCAGTAACTACTTGACTCGCTCACTATCATTACATTTTTTTTTATTACCCATTGTGTGTGTACTGCCATCAGTTTCCACCATCTGTTTCCTTAGGTTTCATTTTTTGCATGATGATCCATAAAACTCACATCTTTTTCATCTCTTTTTACATTTGCTAAACCTTCTTTTGCTTAGAAATATGTACACAAATTTTTGATGATCAAAATATATTTGTTTTCAAAAGGCAGAAGTCTATGCACTCCAATAGACCAAGAGTAAATCCTATTCATGAAAAGGCACTTCAACAGCTCAACCTCTTTGAAGATCAGCCTCAGTTGTGCACAATAATCTGTGTGCTTTAAAAGTGGGGGGGGGCTGTCACATCCCCACCACCATTATATCAAGTCTCTGTGCACCTGTCCAATGGACTATGACTAGCAGAGACTGGGAAATTATTCCAAGCTCATATCAGATTAAGTTGCAAATGATCAAAGTTCTTACAAATAAAACTCCAGAAAAACTCAGTTCAAGGCTTGACACGTGTAATAGCCCTTCGGACAAATCTGGCACTCCAAATGTTCTTGAACTCCAACTCCTATAAGCCCCAGCCAACATTACCAATGAACCATGGGTAATGAGAGTTGTAGTCCAACAACACCTGGCAGACCACAGGTTCCCTATCTTTTCCTTAGGAGAATTGCATCAATCACTGCTGGTCCTGCTGGAATTTCTCAGTTAGTGGGAATGACAGACAAAGTTTGGCAACAAGGGCTTGGGGACATAAGGATGGGATTGGAGAAGCCAGAGAATCTGGCGGCCTGAAAAGCTCATCAGCCACTTAGAAGACTATTTTGGCAGATGAAATGATAAAACACCACCATCCCTTCTTTGGATTCTTTGAGTACTTCTTCACACAAAGCACTCATGGACACCAACTTAGATGACGTCAGAAGAGGCTTAGACAAATTCATGGAGGATAATGCTAACAAAGGCTACTACACTTTGCCTCCATGGTAAGGCTTCTGAATACCTGTCAGGCTTCAGGAACTTGGCTTCCTCCCCCCCTTTGGCAGTAGATAAGCAGAACAAAGAGAAATAAGTCTCTTACCAGTTAGAATTTTTAATCACAGTGAGAGAACAAAAAATCCATTCCTAGGAATGAAGGTGCTCCCGATTAAGGGATCCACCCACTTCCTCCCTAGTCACCCACATCACTACCACGTCTTGCAACCTGATCTCATGGCCACTGTGCTTTCTGTGCTGCCACCTTATCTGCTCTTCTTGACCTTGGGCTCAGCAAAAGTGAGTCTGTTAACTCTCCCAGTTCCTCCTCCTAGCTGTTCCCCATCCAGTACTTCCCAGCTTCTGCCTTCTGAACTATGTCCCTCTGCAAACCACTGTTCCAAATCTATACTGTCCTCCAGCTCCTGGGAAGATTCAGCATCCTGATCGGGGGAGGGGGAGCTTCCCACCATTACTCCTCAGTGCAGCCCTCCTCAGTGTGGTCCCTGACAATACCAGTTGCTGGAAAGTGCAAGAGTGGACTGTGCTCTTGTGCTCAGGGCTTGCTTGAGTGTTTCCCATAGACATCTGATTGTCCACTGTGAGAAAAGGATGCCGGAGTAGAGGATCCATTGGTCAGATCCAGCAGGCTCTTCCTGTGTTGTTATCAGATCCTGGCTTGGATGAACTACACTGGCAACTGCAACCGATTCTACTTTATAGGGATCTCTTTACATGTACCTGAATGAGCTCTTTAGGGAAAGGGCAGGATAAAAATGCAATGCATAAAAAATAAAATACACCATGCAGTTATCCATATTTAAAAGCCGTGTTTTAAACACCCACAGTATAACAACTCCTAATAAAGCACATCCACACGTAGTAATTGTGTTACTCATAAGCCCCTTTTTAGTCTGTGGGTATACAGCAAATTCACAAGAAAGTACGTAGATTATGCAGCACGCCCATTGAATGAGAGCCAACCTCCTACTGAGTTAATAGACTCCAGCAGTTTGTAACATGCTGTTACCATCCCGTCAATATCAATACACCACAATAATTACGTTTCCCTGATATGCAGCGATGCGATAGAGCGTAACATCTCTCCTGCTTTCAGGAGAATTCCTGCTGCCCTAGGCATAACAGAAAATGACTCCCTCTTTCTGTTAGAACAATTTCCTACCTGATTTTCTTTTGCCCTGGGCAACTGCTTTGCCTGTCCAAAGAAAAGAAGGCGTTATAGGGACACAGGGCATAAAATTATCTATCTGACCGTCTGGGACAGTTATTTGCAGATGAATGCCATTTCATGATTGTTCTTTATAGAAGCCAAAGGTATCTCAACTGGTCAGCTCAATTCAAAAAACATATTGTTGAACTGGAAAATGTAAAAAAAAAAGGGAGGCAAATAAGATTATTTTTCTTGCTGCCCACTATGAAAAATTACATTTATTTGTTTTATTTCATAAAATTTCTAAACTGTTTGGGGGAGAGACCCTAAAAATGGCACATAACTTCATATAACTTATGTCATTAAGTTTCTGTGTGCTCTGGCACTCATCGTGGTACTTCATGCACCAGAAGTGGTTTAGTCATGCTGGTCACATGACTGGGAAAGCTGTCTGTGGGCAAATGCCGGCTCCTTTGGCCTGAACGCGGAGATGAGAGTCACACCCCATAGTTGCCTTTGACTGGACATGACCCTCTGGGGGTCCTTTACCTTTACCATTTTACCTAATGCCATTATATAAATTATGCTTTCAGTACATTATTTTACCCCATTCATTTCAATGCAAAAGAAATGTAATGAAAATTGTGGTAGGGGGACAAAATCAATGATATAGCATTTGCAGACTGAAAGCAACCACAACAGTGAATGCAGATCGTATTGAATATTAGGCTCATGGCACGAGTGGCGCGGTGGTCTAAACCACAGAGCCTAGCACGTCAAAGTGCAAGTAGATAAATAGGTACCACTCTGGCGGGAAGGTAAACGGCGTTTCCGTGCGCTGCTCTGGTTCACCAGAAGCAGCTTAGTCATGCTGGCCACATGACCTGGAAGCTGTACGCCGGATCCCTCGGCCAATAAAGCGACATGAGCGCTGCAACCCCAGAGTCGTCCGCGACTGGACCTAATGGTCAGGGGTCCGTTTACCTTTTACCTATAATTGTAGAGTTGGAAAGGACCACAAGGGTCATCTAGTCCAATCCCATGTAATGCAGGAATATTTCACCCAAACATGGGCTCAAACCCATGACCCTGAGATTAAGAGTCTCATGCTCTACTGGCTGAGCTGTCCCAACATCTCCACCTATGATGAAATGTGACAATGTTTGGGGCTATTTAGTTTAGAGAAAGGTAATAAGAGAAAACATCAATCAATCAATTCAATTGCATTTATGAATCGCTTCCCATAAAATACCTGGATGGAAGTGATTTCACAGTAACCGCAATGAACAAAAAACAAAGCAAAAAAATTCATATTTAAAATCAATTTCAAATTCAATACAGAAACAGACTGAGATAAAGATCTCCATTTAAAAGCTTATTGAAAGGGAACATAGGTGCCCAAAACTCAATAGAGACAGCCTGTGCCTGATAGATGGAGTTCCCATTAGAGATGTATAAATCTATGCATGTTGTGAGAAAGTGGGTAGAGAGATACATTTTCTCCTTCTCTCATAAAACTAGAACCTGGTAGAGCCACCCATTGAAGCTAAATGTTGAAAGATCCAGGACAGACAAAGGAAAGGTCATTTTTACAAAGCCCATATCAAACTATGGCATTTGTTTGCACAAAATGTAGCAATAGTCAGGTTAGATATATTTTAAAAGGGATGAGGGGGGAATCATGGAAGATAAGACTACTAGAGGCTCCTAACCATGATGGCTAAGCTCTGCCTTCACTCTTGGAGGCAGTATTGTCTCTGAATACCAGAGGAGTCACAATTGGGGAGAGTGCTGTTGCGCTAAGGTCCTGGTTGTAGGCTTCTCATAGGCATATGGTTGGCTACTGTGAGAAGAGAACATTGGACTAGAGATATTGGACTCCATTCCACCAGGGTTCTTCTTATGTTCTTAAAAGGCAGAGGTTGTTTTCGTCATTCAGAGGAATGCTTGTCCCTGCATCTACCTGATGTGTTATCTGCTGAACCCTCCTCCAATTAACCCCAACATTTGCAGTGTGGCAGATGGCAAACAGGGACGGAGCATTTTTGGTTGTGGCTAGAGATGCAAATCTTGATAAAACTGACATGAATCAGCAGTTCCTGGAGGAATATGAGGACTGGAAGATTCTGCGCATCTCAAAATTCTGCGATGCAATACTTGGCTCAAAAAATCAACCAAGATGTCTGTCTAAGTGTACATGCTTAGCTAAAATACTGAATGTCAAGAAATTATATTTGTATCCCACCAAAAACTGAGTTAAGAGATGGTGTTTGCTCATGGTAACCGAATAAGCTTCTGAGCTGGTGTGGGTATTTGAAACCAGGTGTTCCCAGTGCAGGTCCATCACCCTTTTCATTAAAGTATAGTGTTCCATTTTAGACTGTTCTATCCTTTCTAAGTATAAACAAGGGATGGTGTTCTTATGGCTCTCCATACATTGTTGAACCAATCAGCTACAGCCAGCACAATGGGCCAGGGATTATGGAAGATGGAGTCCAACAACATTTGGAGGGCCACAAATTCTACACCCTGGTATAAACAACACAGAGACTCAATAAATTGTATATGATAATAACTTACTGTGGAAATAACTTTCAGTAAATGCAACAAACCTCTTCCCTGTTACATGTTTTTAAATGATGAAAGGTGTGAACATTTTAATCCCAACAGCACTGAAAACAAAATTGAAAGAATATTAAGAGTGGTGGGATTCTTATTTTACTAATTTTCATAGTGTTTCCTGTTTTTAAAAGTCATATTCATTTCCAGTGACAACAACAAAATCCAGGCTTTTGTAATAGTCTTGTGGTGCGAAGAAGTGTATGTAAAAATTCACTCTCAGAAGACAGAATTTAGTCTGTGATCCAGAGAGTCAATTAGGTGTGAGAGCATTTCTAAGGAGAAACCAAAGGGAGATAGTGCACATCTGAGATGACAACATTCAAAAGGGAAAAACTATTGCAGCCCATGCGTGCTCTTTCACTTTTGAAACTAGCTATTTGTATGTTTCAGATTGGTTTGTAGTTAGCCTGTGAAGCTTTCAGAGACTGTCTCTCCCTAACCTCAAAGTTTCAAGGCCATCAAGTGGCAGAATCTAGGCCATGAGTGAATGCAAAAGTCTTCTGGCCAGGCAGCCCATCCTTTTAAGAATCCATAAGAATCCAAGAGTTTTGAAATGCATATTGAGTTTCCATGGCAACATAAAATCCCTACATTCTTATAATCAGAAGCTGGGTTTCCACTGATACTGGCGCGAGAGCTACACAGGTTCAATCATTTATTCAAGAAATAGAACTACAATCCCTATTTTATTTTGGGGGGGGGCCCATTTGCAGTGAGGCCAAGGTCACTGGGGCAGGGGCACATGAAGAAATAAAATGACATGACAACATGTTGGGATCAAAATGGCTCAACCTTTATTGATTACAGATGTCAGTAGGCTTTGGCATAGGCAGTTGGTATGTATCCTGAATCAACCACCCCAATTGCAGGCTAATTACTTCACCAGGGTCAATCCTGAATTAAGAATCCCCATAAGATGCACATCAAATACAGGCAACCCCTCCAGGATAGCAGTAGGGGGGTTCCATGGCCTGTTAGCCCCTGTCTGGGCATTCAGATAGAATCCTTCCCTTTGGATCCCTTTACTGGGGTACCCTGATACTTTGATCAGGAAGAGAGGGTCATAGCTCCTTCCCACCCCCTCTGTTTAGACTAAGGATTCAACTCAATGTTTTTTCCCAAGTTGCTGTGAGCTAAGCAAACCCCTCCAAACTAGCCCAATCCTCCCAGGCCCCAAATACAGCGGCCAAGTAACTTCACAGCAAAGTCATGCACATGTGTTGCCTGCTTAACTTCGGGCAGGGCCAAACTTTCGGGGTGGGCAGGTAGAACATCTGTTGCTGACTGCACTGCTGAAGACAAGAGCAGCCAGTTTAAATGGGTTGGAGATGGACCTGAGTAAAGCCAGGTACAGGTAGGCTTCAAGCAGGTCTGCCCTAAAAGGACCACCCCCTAAATTGGCTATCATTGGCCCATTTAAATTTAAATTGAACTAGAGGCTCAAAACTCCACATTGTCAGCCAAGGCTAATGACAATGCCAGCCAGTCACATAGGGAGTTTTTCAGGCCTCCCCCCCCCCACTTGCCAGCAGTTGCAGCAGCAGCCGTCACCGCAAAGATGGTGAGTGGTCTTTTTCTTAGATAAATAGATCGTGTGTGTGTGCATCTGTCTGTCCTCTCTCTCACAAGCTTGTTTTATTCAGATTTCTACAGAAAGGAAAGAAACCCAAACTAAGCAATGGAAACTGAAACCCAATAGCTCACAAATACACAGAACTACCATATAAACTTAAAATAAGCTGTACTTCCACCTAGGATAGTAAGAATGGTGCATTAACAACAATTTTCGAAGTAGACTTATACGGAAAAATCCAGTTCCACTCTCCTCATATTTCTCTCTCTCTCTTTCTCTCTCTCTCTTTCTCTCTCTCTCACACACAGATATTTACTTGGTTTGAAATTCTAATGGTTGTTGATATGCCCTCCAACTTTAGATTATTAAATATTAAACAATATTTTACAGGTAAGTAACTTCAGGGCAGGGACAGCCAATGTAATGCCATCAAGATGCTGCTGGACTTCACCTCCCATCATTCCCAACCAGCATGGCCAATAGCTAGGGAATATGGGAGTTGGAGCACCACAACCCCTGAAGGACACCACATAGTCTACCTCTTCTGATGGCTATCTGGCCCACCAAGACTTTCCTTGTGTTTTCCACTGGGTCAGGCTGAAAGTTGTGTGAAAAACTGGAGTGCCAATACCTATGATGGAAAATGTTACTGTTTTTCAAAATAACAGCTCTCTTCTGACACCCCTAACAGGAAATATGCTTCCAATGACTTGCTTTTTAGATCACAATAATGTGGTGTTAAAACCATGACTTCCCTGAAAGGTCAGTTTCACTTAACAGCAAATTTACTCATTACCGAAGATCTGCAGGGCACTTGATTGTTAACAGAACGACACCTGTGTAGAATATTGCGAGCCATGCCACACAAAGAACAGTATAAAACCATGGACCAAAAGTATTTATGTGAGCCAGAAATGAACCCATATGGCTGATATTTTGAGAGTCATCATCTAAAGTTTCCCTTCGATTTCACCATAAATGGCTCCCTTCTTCTTCATCATACATACTGCCTGACATTTATCTCAAACCCTTCCACATAGCTAAAGTACATGTTATTTACTGTTATCAGAGACAAAATGTAGGATCTGCAGTACACGTTACCATGTAATTACCATTGCCTGAAGCACGTTGCCATGCACTTTCCTGGGGAAATGATGTGTTATTTTCACAGTAACTATGTAATTAGGAATTTTCTCTCTATACCTACAGCAGGAACACAGCTTTGAGATTTAACAAAGATTGTTACTTAGAACAACTCTGTTCTGTATTGATAGGGATGCCATATCAACACTATTATGAGAATAAGAGAAAGTTCTGAAATCCTGTGAAGTTAACACAGAAACTATTATCCTTTGTCAAATTTGGAGTGTATATTCAATTGAATTGTTTTTAATGAGAAGCACAACTGGGGAAAGTAATTGTTAGTAATTGTCACACATAAGCATCACTACTTCTATATTTCCTCCTTTATCAAGCTCTTTGCGCGCCTGTAACCAGAGCTCTGTGTGTGTTTATGTGTGTAATAATGTGACAACACACAGTGTGACCTGGAAGTATTTGTGTTCATCAGAACATCTGAATACAGGGATTTCTGCCTCACAGTTGCTCTGGAACTTCTGTAATAATTGCAGGGATTATTGCACCTGCAACATACAGGGCATGGTCTTCTTTCAAGGTTTTTAGATCTGGTGGTGGGACTCACCTGAATACCTCTCCTTCTGGGGACTCAGGAGCGTTATGTAAACTACAAAAATCATAAATTGCCAAAAGCTAACCTCATGCCACTTAAGTAGTAAGAATTCTAAAGTGTCTGACAAAAGATAAGAAAACTATTGGTGCTGTGTCTTTGTAACAAAGTTGATTGCAGATTGGTGAATCTTTGTAAGATGGCAAAGTGAAAAGAAGAAGAGACTGTAAGGACAGTGATGCAGGTGAAAGCTGACACGCAGGAAAGAGAAATCTATGTTTCTGTCATGAAAGCTTTGATGGAGTGTGTTCGTGACGAAACAGTAAAATCAAATGAAAAAGAAATTCAAGATAAAATGTGCCTGATTAAAGCTGTGCTCAGTTCTAATACTGCCTTGTAAACTGTTTCTTCCTCCTCCCCATGCAACATAACCTATAGGGAGTACTTTTAAAATGGTAGGACCACTTATGCTCTCACTTATTCTCACAAGACCTTGCTGTACAATTCAATGCATCTTCCTCAGAGAAATAAAGATAAGAAAGAGCAGCTCACGTGCCTCTCCAGAAGTGTGTCGCTAGAGCAACTGCATCTGCTTCTGTCCTTTTCATTTTTGTTCAGTAGATGCAATTGTTTAAGGATAGTCTCAGATACAGCAGGGTGAACTTCTGCACTCAGATGCTCTGAGGATAATTTATGCATGCATCCTGCAAAAGAAGACCCTTGAAGCCCAGGAGGGCTGATTAAGGATTTAGAACTCAGGGTGTTCTAAATTATGTGCCATAATTTAAAGCACATCCAAAATAATTCTGGGAACTGTAGCTCACACCCACACACCCTAGAGTTATAATTTGCAGCACCCTTAACTCCATTTCCCTGGATTATTTGGGGGAGAGAGCATGCTTTAAATATGCTTTAGTAGAAAGCTGATTAACACTGCCAAAAATCTGATTCATCTAGCTCAATAATGTCTACACCAACTTTCCCAAACGTAGTGCCCTCCAGATTCTAACTCCCATAAGTCCCATTCATCACTAGCCAACAGTTAAGAACAGGCTCGTAGGGGGCTGGGGGCAGTTGGGTACACTTGCTGTGGGCCTTGGAGGACTAAGGCAGCCAAGGGGCCCACCAGGAGTCTGCTGGACTTGCACTGTCATGCCAAGAACAAGATTCCTGTCCTGGGCCTCAGACAAGCTCTACAAGGGCCTGGCTAAGAATGATGAAAGTTGACATTCAAAACAGCTGGAGAACCACAGGTCTACACAGACTGGCAGTGGCTCTCTAAGGTTTCAGTCAAGCCCTTCCCAACCCTTACCTGGGAGAAGCCAAGAATTGACTCTGGATCCTTTTGCATTCAAATCATGTGTTGTAACTAAGAGTTATATCTCTTCATCTCAATGAAGGTGGCAGTCTTCAAATGTGGACCAATCAGCAGGAAAGTACAGGATGAGCAAGTTATCCTCACAGAAATGGTATCTCACAACAGGGGGGTCAGGACACCCCCCCCCCTTTTTAAGTCTCTATCCAATGTGATATAAAATTAGTCAGCTGTTACCATTTCTAGTCCCAAAATGAAGGTACTTCTGGAGTTTTCTGGCGTTCTGAGTCAACCAGATAACAATGGTGTGTGTGCATGTGTGTGTGAATGTTTGTGCATGTGAATGAGGCTAGGACATACTATACCTAAATATTTTGCTCATTTTTAGAGCCATCCTCCATTTTCTACTTAAATATTTACAGTATTTAGGTTTGTTGTGATATTTCTTCTTCCCATGAATGCCTGTTGACCTTCAGGTGTGGAGATTAATAATATGGAATGCATCATATCACTATCCAGCTCATCTAGAGAGTTTCTCAAGAGCATCTGGTTGGTCATTGTCAATATAAAAGATGCTACACTTATGTGGACACTTGACTGGACCCAGCTGTACAGCTCCCATGTGATAAAAAGGATACCAGTTCATGAAAAGCATCAACACTAGTCACATCCTGGGGAAAACAATTTAGCTGAACAACACACCTCTCTCATAACAAGCCTAGACAACTTAATAGCTGCAATTGCCAAGCAAAATGACTCAGGTAGCTACTTTTCTAAAATAATAATAATAACAAATCCACACTTCATCATTAGAAAAAGGTGTTAAATTCAAGTCAACTAGCATTAATGTCACTGTGACATCTTTGCTTCCTCTCAACCAATAAGAAGCTGTCTGCTGCATACTAATTAATTATTCATTGAAAAACAATTACATGTGGATTCAGAACAGAAGCCAAAGTAACAGGTACCAAAATGAATTTCAAGGTACTTTAGACAATTGAGCCATATGCATCTCATAGTGCTTGAAGTTTTCTCCATGATAGTTTGGTCTTTACTTAAGCACCTATAAGAAACCTATGCATTCCTAGTCAAAAATACATCGCACTAAGTTCAATAATACTTACTCCCCAGTAAATGCATGTAGGATTGAAACCTATGTTGCATACCACTCTGGCCTAGCCAGCCCCCTAGATCAGTAAATGAACCCGAGAAATAAGCTGACAGGACCTTTGAAGTCCCAACAAAAGAGGTTCCAAAAGGAAGTATTACCTGATGTCACTACGGCATCAGGTGATTGTTGGGTGTAGAAGGGAACTGGAAGGAGCTATGAGGACTGGCTGGGGGTAGAAGGAGCTGGGGGATGTCAGGGCAAGGTGTAAAGGGTGGGGTTGTTGGGATAGCAGGTAGGGGTTTAGCAAGCAAGTGGCTGGTAGGTGGAGTTGACAAGCAATACTAGTGGGGGGTAGGCACTAATAATACATTTACAAACCTGTGACTGCAAATCTAAACCCAGTTTTCTGGGAGTAAAAAGGTAAAGGACCCATGGACGGTTAAGTCCAGTCAAAGGTGACTATGGGGTTGCAGCGCTCATCTTGCTTGCTGGCTGAGGGAGCTGGCGTTTGTCCACAGACAGCTTTCTGGGTCATGTGGCCGGCATGACTAAACCACTTCTGGTGCAACGTGACACCGTGGCAGAAGCCAGAGCTCACGGAAACCCCATTTACCTTCCCGCCACAGCAGTACCTATTTATCTACTTGCACTGACGTGCTTTCAAACTGCTAGGTTGGCAGGAGTGATCCCCATTGCACCCAATTGGACTTACTTTTGAGTCAACATGTCTGCAGGCTGTGCGGTAAAATGCTTATTTCAAATAATCTGTCAGAAACTTCCTTTCAGAATTGTCCCATTTTCTCTACCATTCTGGAGAACTTCAATATTACCAAGCATACAGATCTCACAACTTTCTTTCCTGGGAGTGTGGAGGAGGAACACACCATAAACAACAGAAAATAGAATCCATCATGTGGCTAACCTGCAAGCTGCATTTCAAGCTTTGTTGCCCTCTCTCAGAACTGTACAACTTCATCCTTTGCCAGAAGTTCTTAAGTTCTCTTCTTTTTAAGTGAGATCAAAAGCTCTCTTTCTCCATGCCTGAAGGAAATGAAGTCTGAAAGCTAAGCCCTTCAGCTACCCCTCCAGAAACATGATACTTCCTCAGATAAGCTCAGCCACCTTTGGAAACGGGATACCTTTCACCTACCAAGCCAGGTGGCATCATTCCTGGAGTCACTTTTGGACTTGAGATTCTGATTCAACAACTTTCTAATGTTGTTTTCTATCCATCTCACACTTCAATTGTGCTATTTCTTTGCCCTGTAAAAAGATAACTATGATCTCATCTTCTGTTCCCACCAAGCCCCTTTATGCATAAACACAAGGACATTTGTTTTGGTTCTTGAGGGGCTTCCTTTTAAAATTTTATTACTGTGATGTTTTCTATACACTTCTATTTTCCTAAACTTTACTAAAAGTAATAAGGTTATTTTGCTGGCCAAGCCCATCCCATGATGGTGTGAAGAGATAAAAACAGCAGCTTATATGGATATTCTCATAGGGTTCTGCAAAGATCAATCACATCTGTGCATGTTCTCTCATCCTCTGTTTGCTCATTAAAATAATCAAAGGAAGACTCAACCTTTAGCAACACAACATATTCGTTCTAGGGTTGGCAGGTTATGTTTGAGAAACCCACATATGGTATAACAACATATCCTAAAGCTTAGCAGGATTTGTGCTGTCGGAACTGAAAGGGAGGGGAAAACACTCAAAGCTATGCATGATTTTTCAGTGACTTGCTGCTCTTTACCTAGCACGAAAAGTAAATACCCATTGTAATCAGTATTTCGGCAGACACAGTCCCCAAAGGGTTTGCATTCATTTGTAACATTTTTGAGAGGCCAAGGGAGCAATTCTTTGCAGAAGGAGCTGGTGTAACAGAAGCTGGGTTAAGTTAAGCAGTTGTAAATTTACACCAGATCCAAAACCTGTTCAGTAGTGAGACAGCTGCTGCCACTCTGCCTAAGTCTGGCAGAGGGAAAGCAAACTTTTAAAAATAGCATTATATGCCGGGCAGCCTGGTCACATGATCAGGCTCAATGGGTTGGGTATCCAGCCTAAGTTCCCTTTCTTTGCTTGCACACACCCCATGCCCCTGGAGCACCCCTTTGTGGGGGAGGGGGCAGATTTGCACTGTCCTAGGCTCAACCAGCTAAACCAGGATGTGCAAATTATGCTGGCATATCTTCAGCTGAGCCATGAGTGGGGACATAACCCTGGCTGAGCCTAGCTGATCCAGGAAGCAGCCAGCTGAGCCAGAGAGCCACTTCAACCTAAAGCTGCTAATTCTAACACTTCTTGCCACAGGATTGCCTTTATTGGTTCTTAAAACCATGTTACATTTTTAAAGGTGTGCCTCTACAAATATATTTGAACACCTACAAATGTAAGGTATATGAATGAAACTAGCATGGACACATTAAATTAAGCATGTACATGTGCCAATTAAATGTGCACATTTGCTAAAAAGCTAGGATTTGACATTAGCTCCCAACTAGCACAGCTACTTGATTTGATCCTGTGTAATTATCGTGAGTGATTTGTGGGCCACCTTTCCATAGGAAGTCATATTCAAGATGCCTGACAATGTCAAAAGAGTTTATAAAATTTGCTAACAGACACAAAACTTAACAAAATTAAAATAACAATATATATTAAGCTAGTGAGAGTATATTATATTAAAAAATACACAATAAAATAAAGAATCCACCAATCATTCATAATAAAGGTAAAGGTAAGGTAAAGGACCCCTGGACAGTTAGGTTCCGTCAAAGGTGACTATGGGGTGTGGCGCTCATCTCGCTTTTCAGGCCAAGGGAGCCAGCATTTGTCTGCAGACAGCTTTCCGGGTCATGTGGTCAGCATGACTAACCTGGCACATGGAGGACAGTGACGAGTGCCAGAGTGCATGGAAACACCATTTACTTTCCTGCTGCAGTGGTACCTATTTATCTACTTGCACTGGTGTGTTTTCAAGCTGCTGGGTTGACAGAAGCTGGAACAGAGCAACAGGAGCTCACCCCATTCTGCAAATTTGAACTGTCAACCTTCTAATCAGCAAGCCCAAGATGCTCAGTGGTTTAGACCACAGCGCTACCCATGTCCCCATCATAATATCATCATTCATAATAAAAACACAAAAACATACTTTCCTCTTTCAATGAGCCTTTTAAGTTGAGAACTTTCCCAATCCACGTCTGTATTAGAATTGTTATTTTAAGAAGTTTAAAATATACTTTTATTATTTGTGTTTATGTTTTGTTTGCTTCCCTGGGCTCAAACAAATTTACATGACATCAAACTAAATGCTTACAGTGATGATTTGATGATTCTACAATAAGTTAGGTCATTGCTTCTTCTTCTGCAGCTAGCAAGGTCTTACAACTACAGATCTTTCCCAAACTTTAGATACGGGCCCAGTTCAAACCCTCACCGAAAACATAGCTTATATGAACGTAAATGAACAGCAATGAGCCTCAGGCTGAAGTGGATCACCTCCTCTCTCCTCCTCCTTCAGAGGAGAAGAATGAAAACAAGTATTCGCTATGCATGAACTCAAAGAGCTATGGTTTCTTCCAACCACAGTTTAAACAAACTGTTTATCTTGGTAACTTGGATTAACAGATTAGCTGAAAGAGCTTGTCAGAACAATTTGCAGTGTGCCATTCACACCATCTGTGACATCTGCCATTGCATCTACCATAGAAAATAATAACTTCATTGTAGAAAAGCTGGGAGCACAAAATAAGAGATGCTTGGCATTCTGGGTGCGCATCCATTAAAAAAACTACCAGTGCCATGTGGGAATAACTGTTCTAGTCTCCATTAAAGACCATGGTGATAAGATTGCAGCCTGTTATCATTCTCCTTTCAAATCTTCTGGCTGCTACAAGCTTCTTTCCGCGAGTCCCGCAGCTGGTGATGTGTTTGAAATAAAATTACATATACAGACACAACCAAGGGGGCCTCTCACCGTTGCTCCATTTCTTCTGCTTTGTATAGCAAGCATAGCAACAACAAAAAGGAGCTTTTCTTCATTTCTCGAGAGTCGACAGAGATGTGCAGTGACTAGCAATCGATGCCAAATAGCCTTGCTTTCTGCAGCATAGAAATTCACATTAGTTTTAAAAAGCATTTTAGATTTGTTGTTCCTAAAGGGGAGGTGCAGGGGGGGGGAGCTACACAGCATAATCCAATCTTAATTCTGAAATCAGCCTGGTGATCCACAGCATGACATTCTGGCAGGTTAATGCTTAAGCCATCTGAGCTGAATGCTAGGAAAAGTCTGGATATAAGGTTTGCTCAGGTGTGTGTGTGTATGTATATAGAGAGGGGGGGTGGTTTGGGATGTTGGCAAACTTAATAGCTGGGTTATTTAGGTAGGGCTGTAGCTAAGTTGTAAACCATCTGCCTTGTATGCAGAAGGTCCCGGGCTCAATCCCCAGCAACTCCAGGGAGGACAGAGAGCAGGGCTGGCCCTCGAGCAGCAGGATCCACAGGGGGCAGCAGATCTGCCCTCCAAGGAATGCATCACTCACTGCCACTGCCACTGCTGCAGCAGTGGCAGCAAGTTCTGTAGTATGCTCCTTGGAGGCTAGATCTGCTGCTTCCTCAGAAGCAGCAACCACCAAATGCCACCGTTAGAGTATCCTCTTGGTGAATAGGATGCTTCCATCCCTTTGTAAGGCTTGACCCAAGGGTGGAGTTGGGGCCTGCTCTCAGCATTAGGCCGCTCTGCAGTTCCCTCGTGCACTGGATTCTAGCATCAGAGAGGGGTGGCAGCAGCATTCTCTGCCGCTTCTGCCCCCTGGGTTGGGTCTGGGTCAGGTTGGTGGCTGTGCCCTCACACAAACCCTCGGCCAGCCCAGGAGCAGCCCTAAGGAGAAGGAGCCACTGCTGCTGCTGCTGCTGCTGCTGCACCAACCCTGGGCCCGGGTGCAGTTTCTCCTCAAAAAAATGTGCCTGGGGGTCCCCTCCACCCCCTGCTATGCCACGGCTCATGCACGGCCACTATGAGAACGAGACACTGGACTAGATAGGCCAATGGCCTGATGATCCATCAGGTTCTTCTCATATTCTTATGTTCTTGATCATAAATATATATTTCTGTTCTGGATCTCCAAGATGCAAAGCCATTTCATTTCCCACCTACCATTTTGTGTAACACTTTTGTATAACACACCAAATCATGGTAGGGATACTTACTAATTGCCCTTAGATAGTAAGGCATTATTGAATTGTGTCCATTGCAAGCAACAACAAAAAAATCCGGCACACAGTTGTATTCTTTCAAGTGGTACTTGCATGAACACATGGGTAAAATGCAGATTCATGTGTGCACATATGGTATGTAGACATGTAAGCAAATCTAGTACTGTGGGGGAGGAAAGGGTATCAGAAACACAGAAGAAAATGATTTGCAGAATGAATCAAAGAAAGAGAAGGGCATAACAGAAAGACAGAGAGAGAAAAGGGGTGGTCACTTGTTACTCTGATGCCTCCCACCATTGGCCCTTCTCAAGTTACCTCCAAAGGGGTGTGGCACTTGACAGGGTGGGGAGTTGCTCTAAAATAGTTGGCTGAGTGGTACGGCATCTGCTTTGCATGCAAAAAATCCCAGGTTAAATCCATGGCATCTCCAGATGAAGCTGGGGGAGAATCCTGTTGTGATTCGAGGACCCGCCCCCTTAGCTTGGGATAAGAAAGACACATGGACACATTATTTTAGGTTTTTGGGCTAGAAAAAGGCCACAACTTTATTGATTACAGCATGTGAGAGGTATTGGCTTAGGCATTGGAATAACAGCAACACTGACTCCACCCACTCAGTGAGGGGTGAGTCTAGCCGGGGTTAATCACCAGTAGGGGAAGCCTGTTGATGCAAATACAACTGTAAGCTCTCCCCTGATGTCAACAGGGGTCATGCCATGGCCACCAGCCCAGCCGGGCATCAGACATTATCCACAACCGCCGGAATACCCGTAAGTGAAGGGGTAGGCGATGGCCACACCCTGCCCTTCCATACACCAACCACACGTTCCAATGCCTAACTGCCAATACCAAAATGTTGTGATGAATTGCAACGAGGTAGATGAAAAACCAAGTGGCCGGTGCCAATTTGCCAAATGGAAAAAACTCCTACCAGGCCGCCTAGGCAACCAGGGCGACCAACCATAGGTCCATAGCAAGGTCAGGCACAAAAGGAATGACTAGAGGGAGGGTGGGTGGGTGACCCAATGAAGAACCCAGCAGCGCAATGAGGAACAGGGCTGCCGCGGCCGCGTTTAAGAGGCTAAACCCCGCCCCCATGCCTGCTGCTGATAGGCAGGCTTACTGGGGGCGTGGCACGTCAGCGATGTTGTAGAGCAGAGGCTGGAATGCCCCCTGCTCCGCGCGGGAATGGTTCCCGATCACAATGCCTTCCCTCCGTGAGGAAGAGAGTATTTCTGAAACATTGGAAAGCTGCTGCAAGTCAGTTTTGACAATACTGAGTTCAATAAACAAATGGTCTAGCTCAGTATAAGTCAGCTTTCTATGCTGTACGTTGCTATGCTTCAAAAGGATTGCTGAGGCATTTTTCTTTCTTTTTTTTACAGGAACTGATTGCAACCCCCTTTTTAACCCAGAAGGGGTTAAGGGGAAAAAACAAACTTTTTTTTGAGAGGGAAGAATTACTGTTGTGTGTTGCAAAAACAAGATCACCCACAAGGGACAAAAAGGCATTTGTATTATTAACAGTTAAATGCATCATGGTCTCTGTTTAAGTACAATTTTGATGAATTGGTTCTAAAAATAGTATTGATCTGGGTAATCAATCTTACACCTTTTGTCAAAAGGGAACCCCTGCCCCCACACCAAAACTACATTATTGATTACCTGCATCTGTACTATACCCAAGAAAGAAAGGAAAATGCATTTCTAGGCAACCCAGGCTTTGCTACCACTGAAATCTAAGGCAATATTAAGGGGGGAGGACCCTCTTTATTTCACTCACATTTGCCACTAATTCTTCATCTCTAACAAATGGTCAAGCTCAGTGAGGCTCAGACAAGCAATTTTCCTAACCACCCAAGTTAACACAGCACACAACAATGACTTAAAAAGCAAATTACATTTCTAAATGCTCACCTACAAAATATAGGTTAAGGGCACCTTACCATTTGCTGCAAAAGAACAAAATATGTTGTGAATCTCTATGTTCTGAAAAAGTGGAAACAAACAAGAAACTGCACAGTGGATACTTGAGTGCTTCCAACTGATTGTGCACACTGAAAAGAGCAGATCAGCCTTCCTCAACCTGGCAGCCTCCCTATATTTTGGACTACAAGTCCCATTATCCCCGATCATTGGCCATGTTGGATAGGGAGTGGTAGCCTGAAACACCTGGAGGGCAGCATGTTGGGGAAGCCTGGTGCAGGGGTAGAATATTCTTCTTCCTCTTGTAGGAACACACAAAGCTGCCTTTTGCCAAACTGAACCGCTAGTGCATCTATAGTCCAACAAGTCAAGCATCCTGTTTCCATCAATGACTAGCCAGGTCTTTTGTGAAGCTCACAAGGAAGAACAAAAGAGAGACATTTCCAGATTTGTCTGGCAGGGCAAGAAGCCCAGAATAAAATTTAAAATATTAACTGATGTAAAGGATAGAGGTGGATTTGCCCTGCCAGACCTTAAACTTTATTATGAATCAGCAGCATTCTGCTGGTTGAAAGAATGGCTGCTTCTTGAGAACAAAGACATTTTGGATTTAGAAGGTTTTAATAATGTTAATTAATGAATGTTAGATTGATGTTGGATAGAAACTAAGTGGTCTTTAGCCGAAATGTTATAAGGGAATATGAAAAAAATGGTTTATTAATACATAAAAATCTAAAATTACAATATTAATGATTAATGACTAGGATATACAAAGAGGGGAGGGATTTGTTGAACTAATAACCGAACTGGAATACAAAAAAGGGAGGTGTGAGGAGGTCCTGGAAATAAGCAAATGAAGGCTAAGTAATGGAAGGAATGAATTGTTTTTAACTACTTTTACTTTGTATTTTTCTTTTTTCTTTTTATGTTTTGTAATATTTTGAAAACCTGAATAAATATCTTATTTAAAAAAAAAAAGGCAAGGGCCCTCTGCCAATGTTTCTCTCTCTGCAAACAGTATTGAAAGGTGCAACTGCGGCATGCAATAACAAGTTGCATTCTACCCTCACTTCCTAGTAGTTATGCTCTATTCAAGGTTCCTGACAGTAAGCCATCTCCTCTTCTGAGATGCTATCAGCTGTAAAGAGCAACAGCATTCTACCTCTCCTCCAATTTTCTTATTTTCCTTTTACTGATAACAGTTAAAGTGCCTTGGCTACCTGCCAGTTTGATGTGATGCCAGTGTGGTGTAATGATGTAATGGGAGCCCTGAGTTCAAATCCACACTCAGCCATAAAGCTTACTGGGTGACCTTGGACAGAGCCATAGCCTCTCAGCCTTACCTACCCCACAGGGTTGTTGTGAGGATAAAATGTGGAAGGGAGAATCATGCACACCACCTTGAACTCCTTGGTGGAAAAGGTTTAATGTAAATGTAATAAATAAAAAATACTGAAGATGTCCATTTGGGCTGGCATTTTTCAGACCTTGAAAATTTCATTTAACAAGGAACTACAGTGGTACCTCTAGTTACGAACTTAATTCGTTCCAGAGGTCTGTTCTTAACCTGAAACTGTTCTTAACTAGAGGCGTGCTTTCACTCTTGCTGCCGCTGCACCGATGGCACACAATTTCCGTTCTCATCCTGGGGCAAAGTTCTCAACTCGAGGTAACTCTTCCAGGTTAGCAGAGTTTGTAACCTGAAGCATTTGTAGCCTGAGGCGTTTGTAACTCGAGGTACCACTGTAGTTCTAGTTCCAGTTCAGCATGCCCCCAAAAGATCTAATTGCCACTCACATTAATCCTTTTACAAAACAAATTAGTTGCTATGATTGCAGAATTGTGAGCGATCCTGGGGCAGCCACCACACGTGCAGTACTGTCTTAAACTTTCTATACTACCTGATTTATTTTCATGAGCAGATAAGCCCCAAGGACTTAAATATGAGTGGTTGGACAAGGCTGCCATGTCAGAACTACCATTTCCAGCACCACAAACCTTAGCAGCAGAGTCTTTCCTATGTTTCCCACCCCCCTAGGATCTTCTGCAGTCCAGGTGCCTTCGAATTTTCTAATTATTATTGTTTATTTGCATATCAAAGTAAAGAACTGAGGTAAAGCTTGCCAAAATGTGATTAAGGGAATTACACTCTTTACTTAGTGCTGCCAATTGCTTTCTTGTTGATTTTAATGAGTTCACTGTATATTCAAGGGGCTACAGGAGGCCACAAAACAAATTTGTTCAACTTTGTTGTCTATTCTTCAACCACAATCAATTGGAGGGGGGTTAACTCCCGTATTTTCCTGCTGGTGTAGACGCACAATCTGTAGAGAGGATCCTGTTCTCCAAACTATATCTACAGCTGCTGCAGAGGTCTTATGATCTTGGTTTTAAGCTTCCAGATCTGGAAAGATATACAGTACATGGGTTCTATTATAATTAAAGTTAAATCCATCTTTGTGGGGTTTTTTGCCATGCATGTGGTCCAGATTTGGGAGGGGTTACATGTTCATTCTGGGGTGAGCAACACAGAAAACAAAAGACAAAATACTGAGGAGCAAAAGATGCACACCACATGCTGAAGAGGCAAGCCTACTTTTCAGTTTACTTTTTTTTAAAAAAAATTGTGGCTTGTCTTCTTAGCAATGCAAACAGTTGCATGAAAAAATCCAAGCGCCTTGCTTTGTGCATGGTTTAATGAATGGTTCTGCTCTTTAAATCTGTGTATAGCTTTGTTGGATCATGACCACAAAGAATAAATGCACAGCTTGAAGTCTAGCTCAGATGCTTTTTAAGCATCCTCTCCCTTGTTGACTGTAAGATTAGAAAATATGGACATTATATATATATATATATATATATATATCACCTATAATATATGCAGAGGATGATGAGGAGAAGCTATGGCTTTTGAGTGTCCCAAAGGTGCTATACCTTTAAATTCAACTTTCTCCAGGTTGCATCCTGGCAGTTCTATTTCCAGATGTTTCAAATTTTGCAAACTGACACCCCATCTAGAAATGTGTCGGCGCCAAACTACTTTGTGCCCAGAGAGAAGCATATAATTTCATACCTATCAAGCAGGCTTTCACCATCTAACAGTTTCTGAAACTGCTACATTTCTTTCATCTTTCCTGCATAGGCACAATTGCCTTCTTTCCAAAGAAACAATTCTGAAGGGAAGGAGAAGTTTTTTAAAAAAGAGATTCTGAGAAAGATGGCAGCTGGAGTCTGCTGCAGAAACTTCTGAAGTCGCATTAAATTTTTATCAGATGTCCAAAGGGGGCACTGTTTGATGCTAAGCATTTTTCCCTCTCCTCTCACCGCCCCCCCTTTCCCATGTACTTTCAAACAGATTTAGCCAAGCCGTTTTAATATAAATTATTCCTCTGATTATCGGATGTTGCTCTAAACAAGGCAGGTAGTAAGTAGTGATGTTTGTTTGAAGAGATGTTGGTGAGGAGGGTCAGGGGAAGGAAGGAAGACAGGGGAAAGCGCCTTTCAAAAATAACCAACTTGACTGAGTATGCCATTTTTCACTTTGCTATAAGGAATGGGTTCAACGGAGCATTAAAGCCCAGATTACCACAGAGACATCCCAATGCTAGATACCAAGTCAGGAGACATCCCAGTTACTTTCCTAATTTATGTGTCCCGTCATATCCTTCTGCCAAGGCTGAGTCCCATGACGGATGGAGCAGGCTAATTCGAAAGGCATATGCCGCACTTCATCTTCTCTCAAGATGCTGAGATGGTGGCAGAAGCTGACACTGGAGCTAAAAGATTTATGGTGATAAGCAGTGTGTGGCCTGCCAAGGCGTGCATTAAACAATGACCGACTTCCTCACTCATTGAGTACGCCCGCTAATTAGACCACAGATGCCACATTGAGTTAAATGTGGCACCCATGTGTCGAAGGGGGCGAGTGAAGTTGATCAGGCATTTTGCAAACAGCAATCACTCAGGAAAGCAGCCTCCTGAGACTCAGTGTGTTTTTATCCTGTCATGTGCAGTGTATGTTTTATAGCACTTGCAGGACAGTAGGGGGTGAACAAATCTGTCAATTTTGTTTTCTTTCGGTTCTTCATCCCCACCCCCTACTGCCCCCCCATGTTAAGTGTAGTTCTCTGTATTTCTGCAACTTACTGCAATTCTTTTTCTGTCCTCATGAAAATTTTAGAGAAAATTTCCCCTAATGTAATGCATTTTCACTAATATATGCATTTGTATGCACACTTTACCCTAGTTCCTATACATTACAAAAGCATGCAAACTTTCATTTAAGCTCTGTATTTTGGCAATATTGCTCCAGGTCACAGGAGGAAAGGGGGAGACCCCTACAAACCCCCAAAAAAGCCAAGGAGGGTCCAAATGATGCTTTTTTATTTAAAAAAATCAAGTCATAAAATAAATATACCTTATTTTTCGCTCTATAGGACGCACCTGACCATAGGACGCACCTTGTTTTAGAGGGGGAGAACAAGAAAAAAAAACTCCCCCTCTCTGCTCAGCGCCCCTTCAGCGAAGCGGCAGGAGAAACGGAACCCCTTCCATTTCTCCTCCCACTTCGCTGAAGGGGTGCTGCGCAGAGAGGGGGAGAATCTTTTTTTCTTGTTCTCCCCCTCTAAAACAAGGTGCGTTCTGTGTGTTCAATGTGCATTCACCCGAAGCCTCTGGAGTGCAGCGGGAGTTCCTGCTGGGCTCTGGAGGCTTCCGGTTCCTTTCGACCTGCTCTTTGGGGCTGTCGGGGGAAAGCACTGCTTTCCCCCACCGCCAGCCCCAAAGAGCAGGGGAACAGCGGAAAGGCTGCGCACAGCCTTCCCGCTGCCCCCCAAGCTTGTGGGGCTGGCAGTGGGGGGAAGCACTGCTTTCCCTCACCGCCCACGTCAAAGATCCCTGAAGCCTTCGGAACGCAGCGCGAGTTCCCGCTGTGCTCTTCAGGCTTTGGGTTCCTTTTGCTAAAGCCAGGACTCTCCTGGCTTCAGTGAAAGGAACCTGAAGACTCCGGTAATTCTATAAATTAACGAAAAAACAAATGCACCTGCTAGAAGGATATTCACATAGGATGCTGCCTTATATACTAAGTTATACCAACAGTTCACCTGCACTCTCCAACATTTCAAGCAGGTGCTTCTCCTAGCTCTGCCTGGAGATGCTTGGAATTGAACCTGAGGCCCTCTGCATTCAAAGCTGATCCTATACCACTAGGCTACAGCCCTTCCTCAAAGCAATTTTAGCCCTGATCAGTACCTGGACAGGAGACCCAACTTGAACTCATTGAGGACAACTGCAGTGTACCAAGAAGATCTGCATTAGAATTCCCATTCATGTCCTGAAACTCCTTAGCTTGTTTTGGCTCAGATACATCCTCTTTCAATCTAATTTACCTTGAATATGGTTGTGAGGACAAAATAAGGCTAGCCTGTGTCCCCTGCCCTGAACCCTCTGTAATAATAATAATAATAATAATAAATTTTATTTATATCCCGCCCTCCCCAGCCAAAGCCAGGCTCAGGGCGGCTAACAACAAACAAATAATCAAACAATCAAATAATCAACATTCTAAAAACATTTCATTATAAAATTAATTAAAATCAAATTAATGGCAACCGTTAAGCAAAGTTCTGTGCAGGTTGCCGGAGGTGGGAGTCAGGCTGGGCCCTGACCAAAGGCCTGGTGGAACAACTCTGTCTTGCAGGCCCTGCGGAAAGATGTCAGGTCCCGCAGGGCCCTAGTCTCTGTGACAGAGCGTTCCACCAGATTGGAGCCGCAGCCGAGAAAGCCCTGGCTCTAGTTGAGGCCAGCCTAACCTCTCTGAGGCCTGGGACCTTCAGGATGTTTTTATTTGCAGACCGTAGGTTCCTCTGTGGGGCATACCAGGAGAGCATAACTAAATTGCTCAAGACTGGCAGGAGGAGGAGAAAAGAAGCCAGTTAATTAAGAATGTTGTTCTTGTAGCAGGTACAAACATAGTAATACATTGAGCTGCATCAGGGATTTATGAATTCCCTGGAAATATTACTGAATTAGGCTATCTATTATGGGTAGTCTTGGGTAGGCTTCCACTGTGCTGAGCTGCAGTCCATGGAACCATTTAGAGACACCTTTCAACCCAACTAATACAAGGAATTTGAAAGATTTGTTGTATTCCCAATCGTTAAGAGGGCTATTTATAACGCTTAGTCAAAGAGTGCATAAAAGCATCCTTAACTGCTTTTTAAGAAGATGATAAAATTATCTTTCTATTGCTACCCAAATATATTACTCTGATTTTTTTTCCAGCTTCAGATTTGTTGTTTTGTAGCTCAGGTTGCTTGTCTCGCTGTTTTACCATTGCTACCTCTTCAGCACTATGTCTGCAGCTTATGGCAGACATAAGCATGGAATGAAGGATCAAAGTTGCTGTTGTTGTTTTATATATTCTGTTTAAATTAAAAATGCATACTACAGATGCAAGAAGGCACTGGTTTCCATTCCATTTTTTTTTTAATGATATTTATTGAAAGAATTTTTTTTTTTAAGTTACAAAAGAAAACAAAGTAGAAAAAGAGAAAAACAAGCCACTTCCAACCATACAGATACACAAAATAAGAGAGGAAAAAACAAAAATACACCACAAAAATTTAAAAACAAATCCATTATTCTCAACTCCTCAACTGTCATTACCCTCTTTCCTTGACCTCCTCCTCCTCCCCTTCCTTGTGTCCTGGTTGTTAATTGTGACAGCAAATCCTTTCCATATTTCATAATATTCTGTCATTACATTACCTTAAACTATTTTAATCTTATCTTACTATAAAAACCTTGGAACTTAAAACTTAAATCTTATTTTTACCAACTTCTCATAACCATAATATTCTTACATAATTCTTTAAACATTTTTACTAAAGCCAAATAATTTCATTCCAACATTTTTCTAACATTCATCAATTTTATAAAACAGTCCTAGTAATGGAAAAAAGAAATAAAAACAAATCCAATCTTCATGCATGGAATTCTGGTTTCCATTCCAACCTGTGTTCATCACATGCATCATTGCTTTTGTTCCACTGCAGTTCAGCTTCTGGGGGAAAAAAACCAAAAAAATTGTGCCTTGGTATTTCTTCTTGATGAATAAATAATCATAATTTATTCATCATACTGTCTGCTGGGAAGAATTTTACTTGTTTATTTGCATAATTATTTTAATGCTATTCCATTACTATTAGGCTATTGCACCCCATTCACATCAGTGCAATGGAAACCCAATGCAAATGGTAGGGAGTCATCAATTATGTATCATTAGCAGACTGAGAAACAACAACAGTGAATATCAATGGTATTCACTGGATTGATTTCCATTCAAGACATGGGATGAACAAGCAAACATCAGCAATTTTCTGTTGCTGTCTCCATCAATATTCTTTGACATCCCTACTACACACAATATTTGTCTGCATAGCAAGAATGCAAGTATTGCAGTGCAGAGAGACTGGATCTCATGCAGCCTTGGGCAGGTTGATACAGTATGCCTCAGTGATTCAACTAGTGCTGCCACCTGCATTGGCTGGTGGTAAACTGGTGTGGCCACTTCAAATATGGCTTTTGGGGTGGGGGATCACAAATTATTTAAGAGACATTGGTGAGCTAGATGGGCAAATGGTCTGACTCAGCATAAGTCACCTTCCTAGGTTCAGAAAATGGCTTCTAAAAGGATCGAATAAATGAAACAACTCTTGTTGCAGCATTTGGGGCCTTTAGTTTAGAGAAAAGGTAACAAATGGCATGATAAAAATGTATAAAATTATGCATGGCATGGGGAATGGGGAACTTCTCAGCAATTGCCAGTTGCCATTTCTCCCCAGCATGCCACAGAAACAGTGGCCACCCACATTCCCCAATAATTCACTGAGAACACTGTCTGGAATTCAGGTGGAGGCAACAACCATTTACAAGCGTTAACCCCCAAAATAGTACCACAGAAATGGAACAGAAAGCCATCCTCAAACTTATTAAGAAATTTTGCTCCCCCCACAAATAATATGGCCCCCAATTCATGCCTGAGAACTAATTGGCAAATTGAGCAGGGGCCTTTTCACTTAACCCTGTGACATCTCCCCTGTTCTTTCATGTGTTTAGCAAGAGAGAGGGTTTTTTTTTAAATGAAAAACACTTCAGTAACCACATAAGGTTCCCTTTCTTGCTTACATGCCCCTCGACAGACTTCTACAATGATATGCTTGCATTGTGTTCACCGGCAGTTTTGTCTGCATAAAAAGGAACTGGTTGGGGCTTGAAGAGTCTCACAACACCTGCAATAAGTCAGGGTCACAGTGAGATACTATAAAGCCTATAAAACCTTTTTGATGCTGTTCAGCTCTAACCTTTCTCCCTGTATCTGTAACCCAGGAAAGAGCTGTAGGGACACTTGAGCACCTGCCTTAAGAGAAATTGTGAATAGGTAGAGTAGAGTAGCGGGACGAGGTACAGTGGTACCTCGGGTTAAGAACTTAATTTGTTCTGGAGGTCCGTTCTTAACCTGAAACTGTTCTTAACCTGAGGTACCACTTTAGCTAATGGGGCCTCCCGCTGCCACCACCGCGCAATTTCTGTTTTCATTCTGAAGTAAAGTTCTTAACCCAACGTACTATTTCTGGGTTAGTGGCGTCTGTAACCTGAAGCATCTGTAACCCGAGGTACCACTGTAGAGGATTTGTGGTGCAGTAACATCTTGGGACGCGGGTGGCGCTGTGGGTTTTCACCCCATTCATTTCAGTGCAAAAGAAATGTAATGAAAATTGTGGGAGGGGGACAAAATCAATTATATATCATTTGCAGACTGAAAGCAACCACAACAGTGAATGCAGATCGTATTGAATAGTAGACTCATAGCATGGGTGGCGCTGTGGTGTAAACCACAGAGCCTAGGGCTTGCCAATCAGAAGGTTGACGGTTCGAATCCCCGTGACAGGGTGAGCTCCCGTTGCTCGGTCCATGCTCCTGCCAACCTAGCAGTTCGAAAGCACGAAGTGCAAGTATATAAGTAGGTACCGCTCCAGCGGGAAGGTAAACGGTGTTTCTGTGTGCTGCTTTGGTTCGCCAGAAGCAGCTTAGTCATGCTGGCCACATGACCCGGAAGCTGTCTGCAGACAAACGTCAGCTCCCTCGGCCAGTAAAGCGAGATGAACGCCGCAACCTCAGAGTCATCCTCGACTGGACCTAACAGTCAGGGGTCCCTTTACCTTTTTAACATCTTGGCTGCATTGTGACATACACCAGATGACTAGTGAAGCAGACACTTCCAGGCTTCCTTTGATGTTATACAACACACTTTTCAGCAGCAGCAAAGTTTTATTAGCTCCAAAGTTCTTAAGAAAAGGCAGACTTAAGAATCCTCTTGGCTTGTAAATGGAAATCAGTCAATGAACTCTCAAGGACAGCATGGTTTAACTCCACAGATACACTGCAAATTTAAAAAGAAAAGGGAGATATATTTGCTTGAGAGAAGACAGGTTAAAATATACATTTACTTTTCTTTTCTTTTTGGCATGGGTTCCTTTGTCAAGAACTGGATGTGTTATCACAACCTAACAGAGTTTAATTCACTTAATTCACAAGAAAATATGAAACACTAAAATTAAGAGAAGGAAAGTGGGACACTGAGAGGAACCAAAATTGACAGATTCACCCATTGTTACTTGACTCACATTGTCACAGCCTCATCCTCCCCCACAGAAGCCAGCTGACTGCAGTAGCAGTCCCAGAACACTAAGTTTTGTTTCCTAAGCCTCATTTCAGGCACAACAGCATGCAAGGTGACTTTGCCCATTTGTGTGGCCCAGAAACAAATGGGGGAGGCAGAGTTCCATCTCCCTGTCAGGGTCTCTTGAGATTTTTTGAAGGATGGTCATCATCCTGCAGGAACTCACAAGAGGGAGGACGGGCTGAGAAAGAGTTCAATGCTAAGTGACTCCCATAGAGGGGGCCAGAGTGCCATTACATCAAGGCTGAGTGGAATGAGGAACTGATCCTTGCCCTATTGTCATACCAACCCTGCTTGCCTGCTGAAGTCAATAACAATTTGACCCGATTTTCACCCAACACTGGTGTCCTGTTTCAGGGCACAACAATACTTCCTCTTGTTCCATTCCATTGGCACTCAATCAGAGAAAAAAGCAGTTTGGGTTTTCTCCAGATTGATACTTGTTTTTGTTTAGGACTAAGGAGTGGCTTTTCG